GGAATTTTAATGCTCTCACCGCCTAGGATTGTTCTATATCGACAAAAAAAAACCTTCCCGTTTCTTTTTTGATAAAAAAATATTTACAGGTCGTCGGTGTATGTATATGGCGAAAAAAACAAGTTTTCGTTGAAATGGTATAGAATTCTGGAAAATCTTTATTTTTCGTTGGATAACTTCACTTCTCTTCTGGAGACTTCCAACCAAAAATATTGATTTTCAAAAATTCTGTGCCATTTCTACAAAAAATTGTTTTTCCCCCATATATTTACATAAAATACATGGAAAACTTAGAGCATATTGGGCGATCTCTAAATATTTTTTTGATTTAAAAAAAAAGAGGGGTACTTTTTTTGGGTATCGAACAATCCTAGGGGGTACGATCATAAAAATTCCGACTTTACTTTTTCCCATGCATTTTTGGACCACCTTAGTGTGCATGCGTATGAACGTATGTATGTATGTATGTATAAAACTAGGCATAAAAGAAGATTTATACGAAATAATCAGTAATTTCAAATTGTTTGAAATCACCACTGCCAGTCGATGTGAAAGGCCAATCAATATATTATATTTAGTTAAGCTGCTTTATTCCGGTTCTTTGATGTTCACTTACAATGTATACATACATGCTTATATATAAACAATACAATAAATCGCGAACAGCGGACTTTACTCGCCGCAGAGTGTTGAAAGTTAATAGCTTTATATATCCCTGTAGGAAATTCGAACATTCCACCATGCATGATGATAACATTCCGCAGAATGTTGGGAACATTTCTCCTTGTTGGACAATCCCTTTCTTTTGAACGCACAATGCCTTTTCCGCAAAGCTTTCACAAAGATGAGATGGTAACAAAAGTTTCCGGCTTCAAGAATGCGAAAAGTGTTTAAAAATTTACAGCCACTTATTTACAAAATTTATGTTACCAACGCGGACTGGACCTGTAAGAATGAATATGGAAGTATTTCGGAGAACTTATTTCATGAAACGGTAAATTGTTATTGCTTCTTTCGGAGTTTCCACCAGAAACGATAAGCTTTCACTTTAGTTGCGTTCCCCAACTTTTCTGGGTTAAAACCTGTAAAACTGTCAAAAGGCAAAAGAAGCCAGAGAACCGAGTACGGGAACGCTTTCTGGTAAATTCCTGTAAATTCTTGCAACTTCTTGCGAGTTAGGGAACGCAACTTTTATTTCCAGGTGAAAGCTTTACTCACGTCTTCTTTTAACAACTTCTTGAGAGTTTTCACGGGAAGTGATAAGGAATGTTTCCATTTTACCTCCAAGTGGAAGTAATTCCCATTTTGCAAGAGGGATACGGCATAGGTATATCTTAGAATGAAAAGTTGCTAAGTCCATTTTTACAAATTTTACATGAGGAAAAACATTTTTATAGCCATTTTTACAAGTATTTTGCAAGACTTTGGCGACAACATTTTTACTGTTTACTTATAGCAAAGCAAAACTCCATACGAATGAGATCTTTTTGATGTTGTTTAAAAGATTTCGAATTGTTTTGATCTTATCGAACTTTCTGTGCCACTTTTGGACTTAGCGGAAGTTACTAATTCGACACGACATATCTGTGAAAATCATCGCCGACGATATCGCTATATTTTCGAATTCTTATCCGCTCTCGGGAAGAACTGTTCCACTAAGACGTCACGTATTTATGATACGAAAGCGATACAGAAATTAGAAACTATTTATTTCGATAAGAATGATAGTAACTTGTGCGATAAAATCTGAAGAATTAAAGAAGATTCTCCGTTGGTCAAATTTTTGATTAAACGCAATGGGAAATATGGGATACCTTTGAAATTGCAACCACAGCCGCAGAATTACTTACCCCATTTTCGTCCTGCTTTCGGCTTAGGTTACTAACTCAACATATTTTATCAAACTCCACCTAAATATTTTAAAAAGCAGTTCCAAAACATCATAGTAAAATAGCATTAACTTAATAAATCAAACGCAATTTTATTATTTGTTATACATAATTACTTGCACATTCATTGAAAAATTAAAACAAATTGAGAAAGTAAATATATAATTTTACTTGAATGAATTTCCAAGATTTGCCTTGTTAATTTTCAAAACTTCAGAGGGTAAAAACCGACCGACAGAAATGTGTTTTTCTTTGTTCTCGTGAATTTAGTTACTATTTAATAATAATAATATTTAATTGTTATATTCATTTTATTTTATTTTTTTTTACTTTTTTTTATTTATATTTAATATTTTTATCATGATAACTTCCAATAGTCACGAAGAAGTGACATCATGGCGCTGGACGACCAAATTCTCTTCCAATTGCTGGCAGGGATATAATTTATTCATGTTCACATCTACATAGATACGTTCAGACATGTATGTATGTATGTCTAAGGGCACACTTATCGCCTTCGATCATTGTAGCCGCGCTTCAATCGCATGATTTTAAACAACAACAAAAAAACGATGTTTTATAAACACCTACCATTAATACATGCAGACATAAATATGTATATGTATGTATTATTTGTACATTTGTACCCTCAGAAAGTAGACCCGGATGAGTGTCCAAGCGCTGCAATTTGACTTTAATAAGCCTCAACTATTCCCTGTGGGGAAAATCTCTAGTTCTGAACTGGGGCGCTTCTAGTACATTTAGACCCAGTACTGGTTCACGATAAATCTCTTTTGCATGCAAGCAACCGGCGAATTTAACATGGCGATGTTCTAGGAAGTGTCAATTGCCCCCCGCTGCATCCCTTTTTCGATAGTTCCGAACTAGTCCTAAATTCTATAGTTCCGAACCAGTTCTAAAATCGACAGACGAAAGAAAAAAGTATCATGATTTTTCAATCTTTTCGGTTCTTTCGTGTGCGATTTTACATTTTTTCAAAGAAACGTTTTTTCAATTTGAAATTAAATTTGTTTGAATGATTGTAAGAAATGTACGTTTACATACCTTGCTGTAGCTGACTTTGCAGAGGTGCTCGCTGTTATTGCTTAGATTCCAGATGGCCCCAAGATGTTAATATGTTAACACAAAGCTTTGTTTTGTATTACCAAACTATGAAATAGCATCTGCGAAGCCTAGATCTAGTTCGTTCTGCATCCCTTTTTCTATAGTTCCGAACCATTTCTAAATTCGTCACTTTAGATATAGATCTGTAGTGAAAAAAACTGAAAAAATTATTTTCTTAAAAGTACCACTTTTCGCCGATTTTGGACAGGTGGGGATCTAGTTCCTATCGGACTAGTTCCTTTTTGGGGATAAAGACCTAGTACGGAACTAGAAATTTGATTCACTAGTCCGCGGTTTCCCTGCAGGGTTCGCTTACGGGTACAATTACAGATTTCAAGATACATATGTAGGTATATCATCGATTTTTTTATTGTGAGTATATTCGTTTATGGTCACCATATTTATCATTTTATAGGACATGCTTGAACAAAGTACATGCCATATAAAAGGGTTTAAAAATAGTATTAGTCGCATGTTTCTTTAAGATTAACCAGTACTACGGATGAAATGATCTGTCTTCCAACGAGTTTGAAAACTTACCCAAAACTCGTTACATTTCCGTGTCGATGGAATAAATTAATTGAACATTTTAATTAAAAGTTAACTGATGCTGTCGTATATATGTACATACTTTAATCAATTGGAAACTGTGTGTGTGTGTATGGCATTTTGATTAAATGTTTAGGCTTAATTCTTTAAATACGCATATGTACATTTCTAATCGCGAGCATATACTCACATAGCATTTGACAGCGCGTTTTCGCAATAAAAACGTGAAAAAGGGTTGGTCTGAGGAGTGATAGAATATAAACTCACAGTCAAGGGTTTTTTGCAGAAATGTCTTTTTTTAAGCTTTTCGTTACGTAATACGTACATATCTTATTTTAATTATTCGTTATTATTAGTTTTGTATACTCACTTTATTATTCTGATTTCTGCACTTTCAGGGCCTATCATTTACCGTTGAAGAACGCCAAATACTGGGCATTCAAGGTCTATTACCCGCTGTAGTTAAAACCGAGGATGAACAAGTACAACACGCACTCATCTTGCTCGAACGTCTCGAAAATGATTTGGACAAATATATATATCTCTCCGGCTTGGCCGAACGCAATGAGCGTCTGTTCTATAAAGTGCTGGGCACTGATATTGCCAAAATGATGCCACTGGTGTATACGCCCACTGTGGGCTTGGCTTGTCAAAAGTTCAGCTTGATTTTCCAATATCCAAAGGGTCTCTACATCACCATCAAAGATAAAGGACACGTCTATGATGTGCTCAAGGTAATATGATGATTTAATTTGTATATCCATACATACTTATATAAAGTATTGAAATTTTTGCTCTGACAGAATTGGCCCGAAAGAGATATCCGCGCCATTGTCGTCACAGACGGTGAGCGTATTTTGGGTCTTGGAGATTTAGGCGCCAACGGTATGGGCATCCCCGTTGGAAAGCTATCTCTGTATACCGCTTTAGCTGGTGTCAAACCACATCAATGCCTGCCTATTACTTTGGATGTCGGCACCAACACACAAAGCATCTTGGATGATCCCTTGTACATTGGACTGCGCCAGAAGCGTATAACTGGACAAGAATATGATGCCTTCGTTGAAGAGTTCATGCAGGCCGTTGTACGTCGTTATGGCCGCAAATGTCTCATTCAGTTCGAAGATTTCGGCAACAGTAATGCATTCCGCCTTTTGGAAAAGTATCGCGATCATTATTGCACATTCAACGATGATATTCAAGGCACTGCCTCAGTTGCGGTGGCTGGTGTTTTCGCCTCTTTGAGACTGACCAATACCTCGATTAAGGAAAATAAAATTTTATTCTTTGGCGCTGGAGAAGCCGCTTTGGGTATTGCTAATCTTTGTAAAATCGCCATGATACGAACGGGGCTGTCCGAAGAGGAAGCGGTGGAACGCATTTGGTTAGTTGATAGCCGTGGCTTGGTTGTGAAAAATCGTCCAAGCGGTGGCTTAACTGAACACAAATTACACTTTGCTCACCAACATGCACCTATCGACAATCTTTTGGATGCCGTTAAAGCTGTCAAACCGACAATGTTGATCGGTGCTGCAGCTCAGGGAGGTGCTTTCACACCAGAAATTCTTAGCTTAATGGCCGAATTAAATGAAAAACCTGTCGTATTTGCTTTATCCAACCCCACCAGCAAAGCTGAGTGCACAGCCGAACAGGCGTATCAAAACACAGATGGCAGAGTTATTTTCGCATCCGGTTCACCTTTCGCACCTGTTACGTATAAAGGCAAAACCTTCCATCCAGGTCAAGGCAACAATTCGTATATTTTCCCTGGCATAGGCTTAGGTGTTATTGCCGCCAGCATCAAAACCATTCCCGAAGAGATATTCCTAATGGCCGCACAGAAATTGGCCAGCTTAGTGCAAGATGAAGATCTGGCAATAGGTAGCCTTTATCCACCACTGGAAAAAATCACTCAATGCTCAATTGAAATTGCTGTTGCGATTGTCGAATACGCCTACAAAGAGGGTGAGTTCTTGTTCAGATTGCAATCCATAACATACTATATAAAAACAAAACTTATTATGGAAATATTTTGGTATATGCTTATGATATGAATACTTTCGTTTACAGGATTGGCCACTGTATATCCAGAGCCGGAGAATATTAGTGAATTTATTAAGTCTCAGATGTACAAAGTAGACTATACCCCCGCTGTTCCCGAAGTCTACTCGTGGTGTAATAAATTGTAAATATAAATATTTCGAAGCAAAATGTTCCCGCAAAAGAAGTGAACAACTGTGAACTGAACACGGCGAAAAGAGTAGTGTATTGTACGCCAAAATTACTGTATAGCATCGTATCCATGAAAATATTTTCAAAATCTTAATGTGTATATTAACACCTAATCATAAACATAAAATAAAAACACATAAATTCCAAATATAATCATGACGTATAAGTAAATTAAGAATCTACAATTATTGGCGGGCACAGTGACTGAACTTGTATTTCCAGTTCAGAGCTAATTCAAAATCAAGAGGAGAATATCGTCGCTCGAATAAAGAACCAGTGTAAATGCTACATACACTATTATTCGATAACTGCACCATTGGATAGACAATCCTTTAATCTATTAGAAAAATCTTTAGTTTCCGTAATTATCTCTTTGGCTCACTAATTTATTCCCGAAAAACGAAATTGTATTTGTATGGTTTGTAATGGTTTATAAAAACTTCCAATTCGTTTTTCTCAGAACTATACTTTTCATGTTACACTATTTCAATATTCCAGTGACGATATGTAGATGAACGCACGGTAACCATGTGTACTTAAATACATAAAGACACTCTGGCATGTGCTGCAGATCGTTCGATTTGAAATCGGTGCGTTTTTCAAACCCAGCTTTGGCGATTTCTTAACAAAAAATCGAAATTCGGCACTGAATCGATAGCTATGAAGTAAATGGCTTTTCCATTTGAAATATTTTTTACTTTCCTTACAAATATTAAAAAATAGTTTTCAAAGTGCACCGATTTCAAATCGTACGATTTGCAGCATATGCCAGATTACTTTGTTTTAAAGTGGTTTTATTTTAGAGATAAAATAACAATGGCTTGCCCTTTATTAATTCTAGTTGTCTATAAGTCGTTCTCTTCATACATGAACTCATAAAATTGCATCAAAATATTTTAAAAAACGACTGCCTAGTAAAGATAACGTCGCCTCCAATATCCGTCATTTAGTTGATCGAAAAGGCATTTCACCACTCTCATTCAAATCGAAATTGTACCAGTCTACTTTACCTTGCAATAAAATCCAGATGTATGTCCTACCAATTCTTTCCACTGATTTCTGTTGTCATAATGTTGAAAATGGTGGGCTCATAATGGAATTTGGCACCACGTCGTAAATCAGATACAAATAAAGCGATATCATCGGTCTTTCCAGCCAAAGAGTGCCTCAGGTTGCTTTATTGAAGAAAAAATAAATAAATATATAAATAAAAAATTATGCAAGCGTCTCAAGAAGACGTAATTATTATTTTATCTCTAACATATTACCCTTACCATGTGCAAAATGGGATATTAAATAAATATATATGTAAGTATGCATACATATAAAGATATATACAGTTGGACATATTTATAGCATCCCCCATTTCAAAGTGATATTGTTTGCCACTTATGTTTAATTATTTATTTTTAAGAATTTTCAATTAAAATACAGTCCATTCTCTAACATAACTCATATAAACCCAATTTTAAAAGCGTTAGATTTTTTTTTAGTAAGATATTTTAGATTTTTTCACAATTTCTGCCGTATAACGAATAAACACAATTTATTTTTATATGGAAGAAACCCGCAACACCTTCGGTGAAAAAAATTCTAAAAAATCAACGGGAATATTTAGGCACTTGAAACTTGCACATTATGAGACTACAAGTAATTTTTTAGCAAAAAGCCAAACCGGCTTCAATTCTCATATAAAAATTTAAGATTATCTTTAATTTGTTCACGATCCAATTATCGGATCTAAACAAAATTAGTATGGGACCACCCTTGAGGTACCACCTGGTCCATAAACAAAAAAAATTTAACGAACTGATAACCTCCTCCTATTTTTTAGTCGGTTAAATATTTAATGGGCTATATAAAACTGTGTACACAAAAAAAAATCTAACACTGGTGAGAAAAAAATTTTAAATTTGGGTGAAAATTTGTTGCATTTTTTTTAGTTTTCTTCAAAGTTTTAAACTGGGGTTTATATGGGTTTGTTAGAGAATGACCTGTATTTTAATTGAAAAGTCCTAAAAATAAAGAAATAAACATTAGTGGCAAACAATATTACTTTGAAATAAGGAAGCTACTGTATTTGACAACACTGTATGTACAAAAATACATGTGAAAAAGAAAAGCCGGTATTTTTATGCTCTCAACACCTAGAATTGTTCTATACCGAAAAAATATACCACTATCATTTTATTTTTAAATCAGAAAATATTTAGAGGCCAGTCAAAGCGCTCAAAGTTTTCCATTTATTTTATATGGAAAACGAAACACTTTTCGTAGAATTGGTAAAGAATTCTTGAAAATCAATATTTTTAACGAGAAACTCTGTTTCTCTTCAGGAAATTCCCAATAATAATACCCATGTATTTATTTAACCATTTTGTTATAGAAACAATATATTTTATAGGTCCGCTAAAATCCCCAGAAAATGCATGAAAATGCAATGGGGGGGAGAAATAAAAATTCTTTACTATTAAAAAATTATTAAATAAATAAAAGGGTTATTGGAAGTCTTCTGAAGAGAATCAGAGTTTTCCGATGGAAAAATATTGAGTTTCAAGAATTCCATACCATATCTACGTAAGATAGTATTTTTCTCATATAAAATACATGGAAAACTTTGAGCGCCTTGAGCGACCTATAAATATTTTTTGATTTCAAGATATAAAGTAGGGGTATATTTTCTTTGGTATAAAACAATCGTAGGGGGTACAGCATTCAAATTCCTACTTTACTTATTTTTGACCACCCTAATGTACATACATAGTTCTTTGAAGTTTTGCTCCAGCGGCTAACGTAGGCTAACGATAATAATAAATAGTTCTAACTTATAGTACATACCTCCCCAAGCGAAGTCAAGCTGCGTTTCTTTTGCATACACAATTCAAATTGTTTGCCGTAACTCTAAAAAGTTTCCCGAAAACATATTCTGAGCGTTCAGAATATATGAGTCCGAAAGGAGTCCCAGGTGGGTAAGAAATATGAGTGTCAAAAACAAATTTGGTTTTACTCTTATATGAATCTTTTAGGAGTTATATATGATCCAAGTTATGAGCCAGTATAAAAATAATAACGACTCGAAATTTATATCTTAACTTGTTTATACAGATATGAAAAATAATTAGGAAGGATAAAATAAACAAAATTTAGCTGCAGCAGTGGCTATTACATGAATGTTGCTTTATACATACTATATAAGTATGCGCTGAGGTTTGTATATATGCAACAGTATTTGAAATGAATGCCGTTGCAAGCATGGCTCTAAAGTATGTTCAATAAGAGTCGCAGAATACGGTCAATAAGACTCATAGAACAGCATTAAACAGGACTCCGAAAGTAGGCATTTATGAGGCCAATAAGAGTCATTAAAGAGCCTCAACAAATCCAAAATGAGCCGTATATGAGGCCAATAAGAGACTAATATGACTCATATTGAGGCTCATTTAGCTCCGAAAGGGTACTCCTTAAACGCTCATTTATGACTCCAAATGTTTGCTATTTTATTACAAGTTGTATTGCTAGAAAAAAATTTAGATATACACATACATACATATATCCCGATCTTCTTCCAGAGCTCCTCTATATATTATTTTCTTAAAATGTCTCGATACGACAACCATCTCCATTTTTGTTGGCTTATTATTTTCATTAGTTTGCCTTCCACCGAAGTGATACCTATATGTATATTGAGAGAAGATTTGGGCTGCTGCATAATCCAGTCAGGCTCTGATACACTTTGATTTTAAACTGGTTTGGGGTATGCTTTGCCCGGAAATATAACTGGGCCGTTTCGGTAACGTCTGCTTTGGATTAAAAAGGCCGGAATTACTTTATTAGATTACTAATTATATTAACCGATTATTTTTGACCTGCGAATATAAACATAATTTTTTTATTTCAATACAGAATAAACACAATTTTATAAAATTACGATTCCCTTCAACTCCAAACGATGCATCCTCCTTTGCTGATATGTGCTTCGTTTGACCCGTCTTCATTGCAACTTGTATTCTCCATTTCAGTGCTAAGTACCACTTGATTGTAAACAAAAATTAAGCATAAAAAATTCGCTAACATTTACACAAATTCCAGCAATTCGGTTATAAAAGTTTGTAAAAGCAGAGAAATTTAAATCAAATATAAAACTAATCCTTTACTTTAGTAACCTTCTTTTGTTTACCCCAACTGTCAGAAACAGCTGAAAATGTCAGAGCAGTATTTTTGAGGAAGAGAAAAATAACCCACACACCGGTTAACCTGGACATTACACGATCAATCATTTTCTATCAAGTTCCAAGACATGACGAGTATGGGCACGAAAGTGTTCGCCAACATGCTCGATGTCGTTTGCCACAGACGGTGAGCAGCACTTGTGGGAGTTTGTGCTCATAGCGTAAAGATGTATAGCAAAAACGTAGGTTATGCAATTGCAATGCTTTTCATTTAGGGGTTTATGTATAGTTTTGTTACTTCAGGCCGGTTGCTCAAAGCCTCGCTGACACTAATCCCCGGTTAAACATCGTTATCGACGCTACCGACACTGTGTTATAAGCATGGAGTCGAAAATGTCGAGAACGATGTTAACCGATGTTAGTGTTAACCGGGCTTTGAGCAACCGGCCCTTAGGCTGTCTGCCAGTACAGGCTCTGTTAGGCATAATTGGCAGTGCATGCACTGCTATACCATTTTTACGTATAAATCAAAACCAACGACTTCTAAAGGCTCCGTCATGCATGCTTGGCATTGCTTGAGAGTTGTCACATAAGGAATCTGTTAAGGGTCGATGGTTCAATGTCTGGTTATCAGTACTTGCCGGTTAAACATCATTATCGACGTTTCCGACATCATGCACATAACATGTAATCGATACAGCAGTCTTTGTATTTAACCAGAGCTTCTACCTCCGATTTGTGCTAATCAGACTTAGAACAACCGGCCCTTAGGCCCGGTTAAGCACAACTACTGCTTTATCGATCACATGTTACATGCATGATGTCGAAATCGTCGATAGTGTAGTGGTAGTGATAACCAGACATTGAACAACCGGCCCTAAGGGGCCGGCTCCATGCAAATAACATGGTATCGGTAACGTCGATAACGATGTTTAACTGGGGATTAGTGTCAATCAGGCTTTGAGCAACCGGCCCTAAATAAAGAAAAATCTTAGGGCCGTTTGCACCATGTCTAGTTAATTCTAAAGGCTCTGTTATGCATACTTGGCATTGCATGCACTGCTATACCATTTTTACGTAGAAATCAAAAACCAACAGACTTTTACGTATGTAATGCTGTGCGTTGGGTAACCGCTTACACGCGAAGCTTATTTAACAGATTCCTTATGTGACAACTCTCAAGCAATGCCAAGTATGCATAACGGAGCCTTAACTCCCAGTTAAACATCTTTATCGACGTTATCGACACCTATCATATAACACGTGATTGATAAAGCAGTTGATGTGCTTAACTGAAGGATGTACCTCCAGTTAGCGTTAACTAGACATGGTGCAAACGGCCCTTAAGGGCCGGTTGTTCATTATTGAATCATGATCTTGATTTTGATGGTATGAATTTTGTTTTGTTGCAAAATAAAAGGGCGGTGCAAGAGATGGTAAAAGTGAAAAGCTCAGGCAACGAGCAAAATCATTTGGCATAGCGTCAGAGAACTCGCAGATTCCATTGCTTGAGAGTTGTCACATAAGGTATTTTGCTCTTTCTATTGTGTCTTATTTTTAAGAGTGCTGTCAGAATTTTGCATTTGCAAATTCTTCGAGTCGCTGCTGTTTGGGCGAAAATATGGAGGGAATCATATAATTCTCATTAATCCCCTCACCGACAATACAGCCAACCTTCGGAGTTTATTCAAACGTGAAACGACAGTTTTTTGCATGGAGGCTTAAATTATTATCGGACGCACTATAGTTCGATATAGCCATTGTGTTATTTTGGAGTTAAGACCCCGGGTTCGGCCAAAAAGTCTTCGGCAGGTCCATAATAAATATTTCGATGACAAAAAAACCAAAGATCATAAAAAACCAAAGATCATATCAAATAAAAAATGTTTTATTTTTTATTATAAATAATTATCACTTTATTCATATATAATTCTTTAGTTTCTTTATTTATACTTTAATTTAATCTGTTAAACTCGGAATTTACATATGTATGTATGTCCATTTTTAGAAAAAAAAAATTCAATTTTCTTGTACATAAATACAGTTAATCAAGCTTATTAATACATATATATTAAATACCGATAATTAAACAGCTATATATTAATTTTGTGTTTTATATACATATAGTATGTACAACAAAGCTTTTTCAACATAGTTTTTTTCACCATTGCTCACGAGTTTTAGCAAAAAATTTATGTACATTTATGTACATACATACATGTGTTACTTAATATCAAAAAAAGAAAAAAATACAAAAACAAATTATTTGGCTTGACAATTATGCAGTATTAGTTAATAAAATCAGCTTTTTAAAGAAACAAATTTCGCAATTGAAATCGCAGGCCACTTACTGGTTAGCTTATGCACTTATGTATGCTTTAGATATAGTACATATATAAAAGACAAAAACGTGTTAGTAAAACTTGCAACATATGTACTTAATTTAAAAACTATGAGAGCAAAAGTTAGTAAGCCTATAGAAAATTAACTAAGTTTTTAAAAACTACAAAAATTAGTTTAAGTAAACTAACTTAAGTAAAATTGAAAATTTCTATGTACACTAGCAAGTAAAAACACCACACCCTTTTTATGAGATCTATTAAAAACAGAAATAATTTTAATTAAAGAACAAACTGCACTGTGGGCCAGCAGCTAATCAAAAGTGGCAATTTAAGTTCTGAAATTGAAAAATATCGGGTAACCTTCGATATCGGGACAAAAAGACTCAATATTTCAAATATCGATACCAAATTCAAAATATTAAATCTGAATATTGGTCTCATTTTTTAATGAAATAGGAACACTTTGCTTTTTTATAAGTGTGTCAATTGACATCACCGACGGCGCTGGTTGAAATCCCGCCACATGCCAACTTATAATAGTACACATTTGTGCTCTTTTCTTTATTTTATGAATTTCTTTCCAAAATTGTAGCTTAATTTATTTCCTGAGGAGCTTTTGATTGCCTAAATATTTTTTAATGATAAATAAAAGGAAAACGTGGAGAGGTATGTAATTATACACTGTGATTGTTGGTAAAAAGAATTCAAAAAATAAACGCCATTTTTTATGAATGAAAATTGTTAAATGAAACAAAAAACGACAAAGACCGGCGGAAAAAAAATAAATAAATCAACGGGAATTTTTTACTGCACATTGTTGGTTTTACTAAAACTCCATCGGCTATAAAACTCCATACCTTAAATTTTTGTAAAAATTCAGAGTAAAAAGTTCAAAATTTAGGCGAAAATTGTTTAAATCCTTGATTCTTTATGGGTTTAGTAAAAGCGCAAACAATATTCTTATACAAAAAAATAACAAAAAAATTGTATACGATAAATTAAATACGATATCCTTATTTAAATAAAAAGTTCTAGAACAAAACTTTAGTTCTTATTAAAATAACTAAAAAAAAGTTTGGTAGATCTTTTCTAGATTTGGTAGATTTTTTTTCAAGTGGATGGTAAGTACTTTTTTTTGGCAGTGGCAACCTGCCTGTAACGTCGCGTCAGATACTTCGGCCGATAAAAAAATCGGGAAAGATTTTTACATTTTGGAACTTTGAAAATTAACCGTAAATATTTCAAATATTGCTTCAAAAAATTGTATGCATATAAATAGTCTTGCCCAATTAAAATAGTTAAAATTCGTGCCCTAAATAGCTGATTTGATTTTTTTTCTCAAATTATTTAGTCTCTAAAGTATCACACAATCTTATTATTTTTCACAAGAATACTAAATTACCAATATACATTTTCATGTTTTTTCTTTTTTTTTTAAATCATAAGAAAATCCAAAAGCAAAGCCACCTAAAAGTATAAGAATCAACATTGAAATGCTTCAAAATGTAAATAACGAAGCACGAATTTCGATGTCAAGCAAAACTCTCTGGGAAGACAATACCATCATGGAATATCATCACAACTGCCGTCTGTATCAAATTGATTGGTCTCCCTGAGGGTACGAAATTCAAGTAAAGCTATGCTTTCTGGAGACAATTACTCTATAAAAAAGGACTGGCAGAGTTGCAGATCTACTAAATTTTTTGCTGTGTCGACGTCTGTAATTTTTATAGCCATTAACTTTTTTTTATATTCGTCCGCCATTTAAGATCCACCATTTTAGATTTGCCGAAACTAACTTCAGACTTGAAATCAGCTTCCCTAAAAACACCTCTATAGAATATTACAGCGTAGCGTTTTAAAAACTTTTGTCTTTTTCGTCCTTTTACTTTGCTCCAAATCGAAGTACGAAGGGAAATAGCGGAAACTTCAGTACATACGCAAGGTCGCATTTATGATTGAAGACTTAGGGCTAATTTCGACGGCAATAGAAAGTTTCATTAAAATGTAACAATTATTTTTAAATCATCCCCCATATTGGGTCGGCAACTTTTAGTTTTCCAAACGTACAGACAGCAAGCTCAAAAACCTATCGTACGAAGTCTCATTAAAATCGATCAATGGCTTCATATTTTCGCCACTTTTGATGACCGGCTGACCCATAGAGCACTGCCCAAATTACTAAGCTTAAAAGGGTAAATTTGTTTTCCTTTGATAAATTGGCCTAAGTGATGGAGAAAGTTGCTCACGCTCTAGACGTAATCGCTTAGATCTTCACAAAACAGTTACCACATCGTGAAAAGTTTTTTCAGTCGATTTTAGATTTAGATTAGATAAAGAGAGCCGAAAGCGATCTCGAAACTTAAGTGCGGTTTTCTCCCCTACTAATGTACATTTTAATAAGAACTATTTGGTAAGAGAAATAACGGTTTGTTTTGAACAAAAGAATTGAACTAAGAATATTCGTTTTTTTTTTTTTTTTTTTTGTTTTTAAACAAACTTTTTTGTGACTCAGTCCGTTTTACTTACTTACTTATGTATTCATTAGAACTATGTATAACACTAAACAACAACACCGTACTGCGACC